AACTTTATTTTTTTTTTTTTTTTTTTTTTGGCAAGAGCATCACACTGTTGACTCGCATGATACACCACAACTCCCAGATCCTTCTCAGCAGTGCTGCTGCCAATCCAGTTATCCCCCATTCTGTATTTGTACACTTGGTTTTTCTTCCCTAAGTGTAGCACCTTACTTTTGTCTCTGTTGAATTTCATTTTGTTGTCTGTAGCCCAGTTCTCCAATTTATGAAGATCCCTCTGAATTTTAGCTCCATCCTCCGAAGTGTTTGCAACCCCCTCCTCCCCCCAGCTTTGTGTCATCTGCACATTTGATCAGTATGCTCTCTCTTCCTACGTCCAGGTCATTAATAAAGATATTAAATAACACGGGACCCAGAACAGATCCCAGTGGAACCCCACTTGAGACCTCCCTCTAATCTGACATCATTCCATTAATAGTTACTCTTTGTTTGTGGTTGTTTAACCAGTTATGTATCTTAATGTTAGTTCTGCCAAACCTGCATTTCTCCAGCTTACTTATCATAGAATATCAGGGTTGGAAGGGACCTTAGGAGGTCATCTAGTCCAACCCCCTGCTCAAAGCAGGACCAATCCCCAACTAAATCATCCCAGCCAGGGCTTTATATAAACAACAAGGAGTCTGGTGGCACCTTAAAGACTAACAGATTTATTTGGGCATAAGCCTTCATGGGTAAAAAACCCCACTTCTTCAGATGCAACACCGGACTCCTTGTTGTTTTTGTGGATACAGACTAATACAGCTACCCCCTGATACTTGGTTTATATAAATTGAACAAAAGGCCTCCACACAAAATCCTCCTGCTAAGATTTCCCAGGGTGGTCTGTGGTCTCTGCCTGCCTGTCCGACTGTAAGTGCTTAAGCGGGGGGGGCTGTTATCTTCGTGTATTGTGCAGCACTGAACCAAATAAATAATAATGAAGAGTGTACTACAGTGCATTTCAGTGCAAGCTAAAGCTGTGTCCCTGTTGTTCCTCCGCCTATTAATAGCACTCAGGCGTTGCAGCCATCCTTTGTGTTTGCACATGGCTAGTCTGTGCTCAGGTCTTATACTGAACTCGAATCTGTGCTGTGGAGTAGTCGGTGAAAGGAGTGGCCGTGGTGGAAGAAGTTAGCAGGGCCCTTGGACAGAGGGAGGGAGGAGGGATAGCAAGGGTGCTGTGTATCTGGAGCAAATTGAAATACTCATATCAGTTTCACAGGAAATGTCTAAATCCTTTTTTGTTCTGAAATGGAACAAAATTTTAAAATTTCCTGCAAAACAAAAATCTTATTGTTTTCAATTCAAAACCAAGTTTGTGAATTTCGACCCAGAGGAGGAAATGTGAGAGTGGCCATTTTGAATTTTCTTCAGTGCCTCAGTAGGCGGGAAGGAATGGATAAGTTGTCCCTAAGCATCATTTGTTTTTCTAGCTCTCTAGGGCAGTGGCTCTCAACCTTTCCAGACTACTCTACCTTTTTTAGGAGTCTGATTTGTCTTGTGTACTCCCAAGTTACATCTCACTTAAAAACTGCTTGCTTACAAAATCAGACCGAAAAATACAAAAGTGACACAGCACACTGGTACTGAAAAACGGTGTGCTTTCTCATTTGTATCAGATAACGATGCA